TTTAAAAACCCATGTGGTAATTATTCTTATTGAATTCTACTAAATTAAATAGTAAAACCCATGTAGTTCTTATTGATTAAATAGTAAAACCCATGTAGTTTTTATTGAAAGATTTTCCTATTTCAATTCAAATGGTTCTGATGACATGTATCATTTGTATAAAAGATATGATATCAATAGTCGGCGTCAAGTTAAATTCTACTATCTTTAAAATCCCGATGTGGTAAATTATTCTTATTAAATTCTACTAAATTAAATAGTAAAACCCATGTAGTTCTTAATTTCAAACCCAAGTGGTTTAGTTCTTTTTTAAAAAAATTATATCACATTTAATTCAAACACATTTATTCCGACAATATAATAAATTACCATGAAAAGTAACTGATATATTATTAAAGGTGCCAGTTCAAAGTGAACATACAAAAAGAGTGTATATTATTCAAATTTAATAATATATTACCATAAAAAGTAACTGATATATTATTCAAGGTGCAAGTTCAAAATGATCGTACATACATATATGTAAGTAAAACATTACAATTTGCAGATTACAATTTTCTAGAAAAAATAACTGCGATATGTTATCCTTAGTGCACAAAATATAAAAGTCGTTTATTGAGATTTGATTCGAAATTTATATTAGCCCGTACAATGAAAAATAATTGCTTGTAAACTTTTCGTCTGATGAAATACTGATTTTATCAAAAACTAAACAATATGCCCGATCAATTTTATTCTAATTCGACACCTTCAATTTTAAAAAATTGAAAATATCGTCCGAAATTCCACTTTCAAATTTTAAATTTTCCAGTTTTCTTCGCAATGTTCTAAGCCCTGGCAAAGGAAACTTCTGATGACGGAGTTCTTCGTAACCGGTAACGCCACAAGAAAATCTTAATTTAAGTGCCTTCATAATTGATTCGTTGCTCCACTTTCGTACTCTCCTATTGTTCTTCAAAGCTACAATTTGATCATCGGTAAATATTTGTCGTAGCCTGCTTAAGAGAACCATATTGGTATCATTTCGTTTCTTATTCAGTTTTATCGCCTTTAAGTTATCGATGCAATTTTTATATTTTTTTAGTTTAGTTATTTGTTTTTTAATTATACGTGATTGTTCACATATAATTAGTTTCTGTTTTTTTATTGTACGTGATATGTTTTTAAGTTCACTGTTGTTTTTTTTTACTTTCGGTACTTTCCACTTTAGCCCGGTCATTCTAGTCAAGATTACACATGATCCCCAAAGAAAATTGTCGGCAGCAATTTTTTGATGTAGTTGTCTGTCCCACATACCTAGTGACTTAAAATCACAATATTCACACAAAAAATCCTTATGCGTTTTCCGCCATCTTGAAATTATGCGGTGAAATAGTTTTCGGCGAATATCTGTCTCGTTTTCCACTTTTTGAAAAAAATCGTAACAGGAAAGTTGTAGCAAATTAAATTTCCTACATTTCTGATGTAAGGGTATTAAAAAAAAAATATTTTTTTGGCCCAGTAAGCGCGCGGAACACCAGCGGTGAAAGATTAAAGCACAGTTTTTCGTATTTTTTTATCCTAATAACCTATCTTGCAAAATAAGTGGTGTATTTACATAGGAAAATTATTTCTGTTACGTCCCTCCCGTCCGTATATTTCTTCTTTTCTTTTTCCTTATTGTATATGCGTTATGTGCGTTTAGACATAAGTAGTAATAAGAGAACAATTGTAATTCCTCCTATTATTATCCTTACTCTACTTACCATCATGCCTTACCAACATATTCTTATTACCAACATCCTCATTACCGACACCTTCCTTACCGACACCTTCATTACCTACATATTAATCCTAATTTTACTACCACCAAGATGACCCCCACTCATGAACGCCCTACTCCTGGACACATCCTGGTAGGGGTCCAAGCCTTAAAAAGGGCACAAGAGCGCGCAGAGCCCAGACTTAGAGAGACTTAGAGCTCAGATCTTATATCCGAATTCTTCTCTGATTCCAATTCCAATTCCATATCCACTAACTCTAGTTTAAGTTCTATTTCTATATCCGTTACTCTTAATCTTACTCTTAATTTTATTCTAATCCATATTTTAATCATATTCTAATCCATATCCTAACTCATATTCTTAATCCTAATTCATAGTGTATATTTTGCGTATAACTTTAAACCGCGAATATCAATTATATATTCAGTTATTATTAAATTGCTTTTATATTATAATAAATATTATATTAACCTTTTCGCTCCGGGGATTTTCCTTTAAAATTGACCTCGCATTTTAGCTGAATTTCATAACTTAAATGAATGAACATCTTATGACAAGTCGCCACTCGGAGTGCGAGTCCATACATGGACCACTCCCGGAGAGAAAGTTGAGGCTAATGTAAAAAATTATAAGTGAAGGTTTAAGAGCGCTTTTCAATGTTTTTTGATGTGCTGATTACAATAAAAATAGTGAAAAAAATGTCAGATTCATATTTGACCCTGAACTTTAAAGGTCAAATAATGAAAATGCGTATTTGAGCTTGAAAATTGATGTACCTATGTTTTATGAACCGCTAAATACGATAAAAATAGTAAAAAAAAGTATTTTTATCGTATTTAGCGGTTCATAAAACATAAGTACACCAATTTTTAACCGCAAATACGCATTTTCATTGTTTGACCTTCAAAGTTAATTTTAAAGGTCAAAGAAGTAACCAAGATTTTTTTCAATATTTTTCCTAAATTTAGTGCATTAAATTGACCTTATAAACATCTATTACGTTCGCTTTTCTTGTTGGTCCATATATGGACCAGTCCCGGAGCGAAAAGGTTAAATAACCACTGCGGCATAACTCATTCGCAAGACGAAAGACCGACATCGCAAAATCGTAATTCACGAGTCAGAACGACTGAAGTCTTCTATTCAAAGAGCCTTAGACGAAACGAAGAACCACAGGTAACATAACAAATTGGTGACAGCATTGCCTCTACTATTTCGGTAAGAATCATACCAAATCTAATTGCGTTACACTTTGATCAGATTCATTAGACAACGGCATTGTCTAACGGACCGCTGACCGCTCTCGAGTCACGTACTCTAAGTATTTACATTACGCGCTCGGACCGACTGCGCAATATTATAATCGAACTCTTATGTTAATCACGAAACGTATATATTTAGGTTAAATCCACGATTCCAAAGCAGATCTTAGCTTTTCCTCTACGACGCGATTGTACCTCACATAATCACGGTTTTATAAAGTAAATAATTTCTCTTAACTCATGACATGAGTCCGCCACTCAACCCGATACCTCATAACATCCTCCGGGATAATATTAGCGTCCCGTATCAGGCGTGGCTCAATACCGCTCTCTGTTGCACAGCTATAAGCTATCAATATCAGCAAAGTAACATTAGTATTTGTGCTGTATGTTACGCGGACAAGTCTCCTTATGATCGCAGCCAATATACGAGTATTTCACGCCATTATATTCATATAGGAGCTTTCGACGAATCCGACCGTTGCCATCTGTGTAACAGTTTATTTCCGCGTAGCAATCCAATATCAGCGTGTGGTACATGTAGCCACCTATTACACGATTTTCGCAGATACCTAATCGAAATAGGAGATAGGCCGTACACCAGTGCGCAATCGACCGTGATTGTTATTTCACAGGTACGCCAGAGGATGGTGAATCCCGATCAACTCCAATAAATAAAGATCTATCCTACCATAAGCCGTTCCGAATTCCTGTCTTTAATATTTATTTTAGTATAGGCCGGGACGACATAACATTTCTAATGTTATTTACAACAACTTTTGTATAAAACATTTTTCCGTATAAACAACAAAAATTAAAAAAAAAACAAAAAACGTAAAAAATTTTAAAAAAACGTAAAAAAAAGAAACAAAACTCGCCATTGATGGTCCCAAGCCCATGTAAAAGAGGAGGGTGTTTCCATTTTTGTAGTTGCTTTTATTTTGTGTGCTATCTTAGATCCGAATACTGATTTCGTTTTCTGGGTCACTCAATTCATGAAAAATTTGTCTGACATATTGGGTCCGTCATTTTGAATTTTGAGAAAATAACATCCGATTCAGAATCAGCGAAAACCCTCGAGTATTGATTTTCACGAGCATTGCTCAATTTTTCCAAATATTGTCCGCCACTTTTGAATCCGCCATTTTGAATTTTTGAAATATGATTCCAGATTCGTAACCAGCAACCCCAAAAACCCACGAGTAACAAGTTTTAACAAAATCCATACGATGGGAAAGCTCAAATTGACAAAGATATTCGTCAAAAACGATTTCATCGCTTAATTTCAAGATGGCGGAAAACGCATAAGGATTTTTTGTGTGAACATTGTGATTTTAAGTCACTAGGTATGTGGGACAGACAACTACATCAAAAAATTGCTGCTGACAATTTTCTTTGGGGGAATTTCTAGAATGACCGGGCTACTTGCAATTCATTCTCACAATCATTATTTCTTTTTTCATTTTGTACTGATAGATCATCTTCATGAACATAACCCATCTCATCATTCTGTGAAGCAGGTCTAGCATCATCATTTCGTGAAGCAGGTCTAGCATCATCATTTCGTGAAGCAGGTCTAGCATCATCATTTCGTAAAGCAGATCTGACATTTTTGTGGTAACTCTTCTAAAATCAAATATTTAAGATTTACAATTATTAATTTACCTTTATTTATCTTTTACGGTAAAAATCAAATGTTTTCAATATCCTCATGCAGCGGAATAGCGTAACGCGGAACGAGAGCAGAACCAATAACGAGCATTCCGTGTTTCTAGAGAATCTCATGATTGGTTCTACTCTCGTTCCGCGTTACGCTATTCCGTTGCATGGGTTTGCACCCTAACAACATACGATCATCTTTGCTTCACTTCCGAATATTGTCGGCACAGCATTTATTTTAAGCTTACTTTTTCCATCAGCTCGGTTATTTTCCCACATATCGTGTGAAAAATGGACCTGCAACAATAAATAATGAATAAAATATTAGGAAATGATAAACTTAAGATATAAAAATTACAAGCTTAAAGACATAAACAGTGAGAAACAGTTAAGGGGAGGTTCTCATGAAACTCGACCCAAAAATGTCAAAATTTTTTTTGCGTTTTTTGATAGCTTATTATGTGTAGAATAAGCCCCCATAAACGCCAGAAAAAGTTTGGCTGAAAAAAAAAAGTTATGATACAAAAAGCGAACCCACCTTTTTACACTAAAATCGACTAAAATTGAGTTCGCGCGGTAACGAGTATTTTACTTCGATATTTTTGAAATTTGAACTTATATTATTCTACCTTACCATCATATGGTAAAAGTAGGTACCTCAAGTGCTACCAAGTGTCGTAAGATATGCCGCGTGATTAAAAAATATCATGTGCATCGTGTTGATAATAGTTGTGTGATATTTTTATGTGAGAAAACATGCCGAATATATATGTAAGACAATTTTTACCAACTATGGTAAGGTGGAGTTATATGAATAAAACTCGAAGTGTTGCTCTGTAATAAGAGTTTTAAACTTTATTCGCTGTTGCAACAACAAACATACTTACAACAATATTTACAACTTTACCTGTAATAAGAGAAACGACAATTGAAGTTTATTCTTTCACTCTCTATTAGAACTATTTATTAGTTTCTATATGCAAGAATATCACAAAGAATCTGCATACGTGTTTCTCACACCTTTGTCTCACTTTTCATTGTTTCTCCCACTCCAAGTCTCTCAGGACTGTAACTGAGGGCTCTATCGTTTCGAAAGACAACTAGACTTCCAGCGCAGCAAATTCAAATGAAGAAAGTATTCTTTCTTTACATCTCCCTCCCCCAAGAGGGAAAATTTCTTCCATAATTATCTTTTAGTCATTCATTTTTGTTTAGATCGTCCTCCTCTGGTTTTTTTTTCTTTTTCTTCTATTGTTGGAATTAGTTTAGTGATGTGATGTAGGGTTGATTCTGTTTTTCTTTTCCCCATGTCTACTTTGTAGATGGAGTCTGAAATTTTTTCTATTATTTTTACTGGACCGATGTATAGTTCATCCAGTTTTTTTCTGTTGAGTCTATTGCCGCTTTTTATGTATACTGTGTCTCCTACATTGAATACGTATTGCTTTCGGTTTTTATCGAATAATTTTTTATTATAATTGTGTGATTTAATAGTGTTTTCGTATGCCTGTCTTCTGTCTCTGGTCCATTTGTTTTTGTCCGTCGTCTTCTTCAGTTCTTCTGGTAGAGCTGTTACATTAGTACCGTCTAATAGGTACTTTGGTGAAAATCCCGTAATTGTGTGTCTCCGTCGGTCCCCTTTTAGATCAAGGAACTTAATCCTTTTGATCAGGGATCGGACCGTGCGACTTAGTGGGATGAGGAATGAGTCGAGGGAGGTTCTGAGTAAATTACAGGAATAAACGTAAAACAAGATTTTTATTCTTAATGCATAGTTTACAATCTAAAAAGTGAACTATTAATTAATCTAACTTAACATTTCTATAAATTATTTTAATATTTTTTAATTGTGAGATACGGCTTGTATATGAATGATGTGTCTGATGAGGGAAAGGGAGATTGAGTGTTGAGGTATTCCTCTAAATCGAGGTATAATTCGTTAATAGGAATATCCGGTTCGAAAGGAACGGGGGAATATGAAATTGGGATTAGAGGAGAAAAAGGGAGTGATGTAGAGTCTGGAAGGGGAAGAGTCTCGGTTTCGGTCAAGTTTATGACCGGTATACTGTTCGTTGTTGTCTGTGGTTGTATTTCGTTTTTGTTTATTGGTGTTACTATATTCCCTGGTACTTGAAGAGTCTCGTTTGGGGAGGTTCTTGATTGAACCCTCGTTACGGCTGGAACTCTCAGCCGGCGCAAACGTTCAATTCTGCACCGCTTCCTACGTCCCGCTCGGTGTTTATTATTCCAGACCATCTACCATTAAGACCATCTCTCATTAGGAAAATTTAAATAGGAAAAGAAGAATCCAAGGAGAGAAAGAGAGAGAGAGAGAGAGAGAGAGAGAGAGAGAGAGAAAGGGAATAGAAGAAAAGAAAGAGTAAAGGAGAGAATCGCTTGAGGCGTTAGACGCTGAAGCAATTCGGAAAATAACGAGTAAGGAAAGTAAATCGCTTGAGGCGTCAGACGCTAAGCAATTCGGAAACTAAAAGAAAAGAGAGAATCGCTTGAGGCGTTAGACGCTGAAGCAATTCGGGAAATAAAGAGTAAGGAAAGTAAATCGCTTGAGGCGTCAGACACTAAGCAATTCAGAAAAGAAAAGAGAGAATCGCTTGAGGCGTTAGACGCTAAGCAATTCGGAAAATAAAGAGTAAGGAAAGAAAATCGCTTGAGGCGTCAAACGCTAAGCAATTCGGAAACTAAAAGAAAAGAGAGAATCGCTTGAGGCGTTAGACGCTGAAGCAATTCGGAAAATAAGGGAAAAGAGAAAATCATGCATGAAGAAGGAAGGAGAAGAGAGAGAGAGAGATAGCAGATGGTCAAATAATAATAATAGAACAAAAAAATTGACTTCTTACTTTTGGGATGAATGAGGTGTTGATAGATTGGTGGCGGAGTCCCTGAAGGTCGGGGCCTGTGATGGAGCAAGGTCCCGGACTGGTCGGATGTAGTCGCTGCCCTTTTCACGGGAACTTCGAAATTTTATATGTGTCACACGCGAATTACTGGGTGTGAAAGCTTTATTGAGACCGGTTGTAATATCGGAACTGTCGAGGATCTGACCCGTACTATTAGAATTAAGGAAGTGAAGTTTCGTAGTCTCGCGGCTTCATATTTATACTTGCGGAGGGCGATATGCCCTTCTTTGTGTAATCGGACTTTGGACTTTGATCGGGATTGACTTCCGGGAAATGGAAAAATTTGGGTCAAATGATGTGTCGAATTTTCATTGGTCCTGGAAACGCGCGTGTAGCGTTGAACTCTATTAACCCGAAGATGTTTTTCTATAAGATCCATGAGTGCCGGTTGACCTTTTGATCTCGCGACGTGGCTTATCATCTGAATTCGTCGGTCAAGACAAATTCCTTTTTTTTTAATTATTTAATAATTGTTTGTCGACGCTCACTCATTGATCTTCAAATTAGAAATAAGAAGCAGGAAGAAACGATATTATTTGTTTAAGTTTCTTCGTACTCCTTATTTAGTTAATCCTTATTATATTTCTAGTTTTTCTACGAAAGAAAAGATTCGTGGAGTCCCCCGGACGTAACACTAACTTTACCTTCTTATAATGACATATATCATTTGTATAAAAAATCTGATATCAATAGTCGGCGCCAAGTTAAATTGTAATTTCTGTGTCTTGTAAACATTCAAATAAACAGTCAAATATTGCAATAAAAATGTATTAAACCAACATGTTTTTCTCTATCTCTTTATCTCTCTTCCTTTATATCTAGTTTAACCAGTTTCACCATACAAACTTACCTTTTTAAAAAAAAGGTAGAAAAAAGCGCTAAGAGTGGGTGTTGATGGTCAAAAAACCATTTGGGCCAGTTTCACCAACGTCAACTACTTAATCGACTGTAAAACTGACCAATCACATTTGCTGTTTAGTAGAACCATCTTTAAAAACCTACATGATTTCATCCTTACTTACTTAATTTTAATGACATTTATCATTTGTATACAAGATTTGATATCAACAGTCGGCGCCAAGTTAAATTCTACCAAATTAAAGAGTAAAACACAAGTGGTACCTTTAATCTTTAAGAACCCATATAGTACTATTATTTAAATTCCACTAAATTAAAAAGTAAAACCTAAGTGGAATTATCTTTATCTTCATACAATGAAACCTAAGTATATGCCTTTGTATTCTTATTAAAAGATCTTGCTATTCGAAACCAAGTGACTTAATTCTTCTTTAAAAAAATTATATCACAATTAATTTAACTATTCTTATTGTTAATATCGACTATTGTTATCAAATCTTTTATACAAATGATACATGTCATTAGAATTAAGTAAGTAAGGATAATATCATGTAGGTTTTTAAAGATGGTTCTACTAAATAGCAAATGTGATTGGTCAGTTTCACAGTTGATTAAGTAATTGACGTTGGTGAAACTGGCCCAAATGGTTCTTTGACCAGTAGCACCCACTTTTAGCGCTTTTTTCTACCTTTTTTTAAAAAGGTAAGTTTATAGTATACATACAAATGATACATGTCATTAGAATTAAATAAGTGTAAGGATGGTACCACTTAGATTGTAGACTCGTTAAACTGGATGTTGGAAAAATATTATAACCAGAATGTGAAATGGAAACCTTCAGAGGTTAATGCAGAATATTCTAAGCACGGGTATCAATATTCCGAGAGTGAGGGTAAATATTCCGGCGATTTGATGTGATTCTCGGTACGCGAATAATATTTTGTTCTGCGGCGAAAGAGAACTGTCTTGAGTTTGTAATTTCTAGCGGCCAAGATTTTAATGTTTTTAATGATTATTGATCTACTTGTAAGTTTAAATTTCGGGATTTCCGATACAAAAGAAAATACTCAGTGGATATTATTGTTACTAAAAAATTCGTGGTTAAGAGAAAAAATGAAGAGTTCTTGTTTCCGGATGTAAGTTCCAAAGTATATACGAATGTAGTTAGAGATAACTTCTCTCAATAATGTAATGAAAATTCTCAGATAACTGAGAATGATTTGAATGTGCAATTTCGTGAATTTTTAAGACTTGTTCTTCAAGTTAAGTGAAAAATATAGCAAAGTGTAATGATTCTTAATTAGCAAGAAATATGCTAATTGCGACATGAGAGAAATTATTCTAAATGTTTCCCGACTTATATCTATCATGGATAGGCAGTGAGTGTTAATACAGTAACTTTCGAACGCCAAAAAGGCGCGGACGAAAGTTGGCTAAGTATAGGAGGGAAGTTAGATTGATTCTTGGACGCCAAGGGGCGCGGACAAGAATCGGCTTGTGATATGGTACTTGTAGAAAGGAAGCCGCAGAAACGCCTGTCGGCGCGAGGTATAATTACCTTGTCTTTGGCTCAATTTTAAAGAGGAAATAGGTACGCTCCGTTGGAATCGGCGCGTTTATATACAGACCGCTTGGTAGCGTCTCGCGGTAAGGGGATGTTATTTCCTTGACTGTCTTGTGTCCGTGTAAGGATCTTCTAGAATTTTCCTCAATTCTTAAATCGTTACTTTTTCCCTCAATTGTACGGAATTTTGAGGCGCGGGTGCGAGAGATCGATATTCTATCCGGTAGAGTTTATATAGCCGCGCCGGCTCCGCGTGAGTTGCATTACGGCGCGAGTAACATGTATACAAAGATGCGGCGA